TGTTCTAGTTCTGTTCTAGTTCTGGCTAGTTCTGTTCTAGTTCTGTCTAGTTCTGTTCTAGTTCTGTTCTAGTTCTGTTCTAGTTCTGTTCTAGTTCTGTTCTAGTTTTGTTCTAGTTCTGTTCTAGTTCTGTTCTAGTTCTGTTCTAGTTCTGTTCTAGTTCTGTTCTAGTTCTGTTCTAGTTCTGTTCTAGTTCTGTTCTAGTTCTGTTCTAGTTCTGTTCTAGTTTCTTCTAGTTCTGTTCTAGTTCTGTTCTAGTTCTGTTCTCTAGTTCTGTTCTAGTTCTGTTCTAGTTCTGTTCTAGTTCTGTTCTAGTTCTGTTCTGTTCTAGTTCTGTTCTAGTTCTTTCTAGTTCTGTTCTTCTAGTTCTGTTCTGTTCTAGTTCTGTTCTAGTTCTGTTCTAGTTTCTGTTCTAGTTCTGTTCTGTTCTAGTTCTGTTCTAGTTCTGTTCTAGTTCTGTTCTAGTTCTGTTCTAGTTTCTGTTCTAGTTCTGTTCTAGTTCTGTTCTAGTTCTTTCTAGTTCTGTTCTAGTTCTGTTCTAGTTCTGTTCTAGTTCTGTTCTAGTTCTGTTCTAGTTCTGTTCTAGTTCTGTTTAGTTCTGTTCTAGTTTTCCAGCTCTGTGCTAGTTCTGTTCCAGCTCTGTTCCATTCTAGTTAGTTTTAGTTCACCTCCAGTTTGGTGTAAAAACTATGTAATCATGGAAACTTGTATACAATCGAACATGTTATTGATGTTATTGTTGTTTTTGTTATTTATCTGTTACATGTGTAACAACATTATGTACATACACATGTTACTCTTTTGTTATTTATTCACAAGTACATACATACGTGTTCGAATAATGTAGTGGTTTAAGCAAGGTCTGCATTGTATTTATTCCTTTTACAAGTAAATTTTTCAGTTGTACTATTGGTTACTATATAGCAGCCAAACAGTCACAGTTCTTTTCAAATTTATATCAATAATAGATTTTTGTATTTATAGTTTTATTTTCTCTAACTAATTGCTAAACAAATACATATATAAGAGAATAATAAAGATTTATAAATACTAAAAGGATGTCGTAGTTTTTTTACACAGAATTTTAAATTATTTAAAAATATAAAAAATTGATTACATGAAGATTTTAGTTATATATCCAAAATTGTTTAAGAAATTATTAAGGAAACTATAATTGAATTTTAAGTAATCTTTATTGTTATAGGCGATTTGTTTATGAATATGAAATTGTATTATAATAGAAAGCAATTAAAACAGTAAACTATATATAGTAAAATGAAAAAGATATTTATATAAGGAATTTATTTACTTAATCTTTATACCATAATTTAAACAAAAAATCAATATTTTAATGATGGTTTTAACAAACTGTAGAGATAATAGAAATAATAATAAAAAAACTAGTTTTAGCTACTAGAGCGTATGATTGATATTAATTACAATTTTCTTTAATTTCTTAGAAACTAAAGAATTTTTTGTAAAATTTCTTCACTTATTTAAAATTAAGAAAAACTGAATATTAAAAAAAGTGATTTGAAAACAATATGATGAAAGTTTCAAAGGAAATTTGATTATTTTTTTTTCAAACTGAAGTATAAACAATTTTACCCCCAAAAATTTTGTTATCTAATTTGTGCTTTTTTAAAATAACATTGTTTAGTCATGTTCAAATCCCACACGACACATAAACAAGTGATTTCTTTATGTCTTCTTCTTACTCTTTTTTGTGTTTGAATCATATTTCATTCAACCAAATATAATTCAATCATTTCTAACATCTATGTTCTTTTTATTATTTTTTTTTTGTTCTAACCCTGCCAACTCCAACAAACTTCTACATTTCATGTCATAGTAAATCAATTAGTAAATTGAGAGTATGTCCCGTTTCAGAGGAGACGGAAAAAGAGGGTTGGGATTTGAATGAATGAGTGCGTGTTTTGTCGATTTCGTTTTGGGGGGAAAGCGACAACACACAAAAATTACAATTTGACAATTGAATTTTTAGACATTTAACAAGGGAACAGCAAATAGAATAGAAGGGACAGGAAAGAAACCACTCCAAACTCAAACAATCAATCGTACTACTAATATTGAGGAAAAGTTTGGTGATGAATTTAGGGTCATTTGATGGAGAGGGTGTCATTAAAGTTTTTATAAAGGAAAAGTTTAATATAATTAAAGGAAGTTTAAATATATAGCAAGGTTCAAATAATGTACTGGGTATACTGTGGGAAATTATACAGTAAATTTTGTTTTAGTCAGTTGTTTTAAAGATTTCTATTTATGGTACCACTAGACGTATGATTATTATTAATTACCTTCAAACTTTAATAAATATTAATCATACGTTCAAATGTTCTCTAATATAATTTCTCAAATTTATTAAAAAAATCAAACCAACTCTTATTGTAGTCATAGTCAAACATTTTCTTGGAAGTTCCTAACAAATTCTATTAAATTTAAGAAATTCTTAAATAATATTAATCATACGTTCTAGAGTCTTATAAATATTTTACAACAAATCCCTTGGATTAATATAGCACAAAAGAAACTGCTTTTTTCAAACATGAAAAAAAGATTTGCACTTTCAATCCCACCCTAAAATAAAACAAAAAAAGAAATTAAATTCCAAAGAAAAACACATAAAACAATATTGTTTTCGTTTAATAAATATGATGAAACAGGTACCAAACACTTATTCTGTCTACTAGCTGCTGGCATCAAACATGTTAAACACGTTTTGCAAAAAGTATAAAAAAGCAATTGTTTCTTCTTCATTTTCGCCCTCAAAAAGTGCTAAAAATCTAACAAATAACATAAATTGAAATAAAACAATGCTCAATAATTACAATACCGGGCAAAACTTATGACAATAAGATAATAAAATGTTAAAGAAATAATGACACGACCATTTATTTATGATATAAAGCTATAAAACAAAATGAAAATTCCAAAGATTTTACAAAGGGGATATTTTGCAAAAGCCAAGGCAAGGGCGGGAGGATTGGAGTGATAAAGTTTAGCAAAATAACGTGACAAAATTTAACTATTTTATGGGACAATATATTTCGAATACATTAGGATTTGACTTATGTTTAAAAGCAGAACTAGAACAGAACTAGAACAGAACTAGAACAGAACTAGAACAGAACTAGAACAGAACTAGAACAGAACTAGAACAGAACTAGAACAGAACTAGAACAGAACTAGAACAGGACTAGAACAGAACTAGAACAGAACTAGAACAGAACTAGAAACTAGAACAGAACTAGAACAGAACTAGAACAGAACTAGAACAGAACTAGAACAGAACTAGAACAGAACTAGAACAGAACTAGAACAGAACTAGAACAGAACTAGAACAGAACTAGAACAGAACTAGAACAGAACTAGAACAGAACTAGAACAGAACTAGAACAGAACTAGAATAGAACTAGAACAGAACTAGAACAGAACTAGAACAGAACTAGAACAGAACTAGAACAGAACTAGAACTAGAACAGAACTAGAACAGAACTAGAACAGAACTAGAACAGAACTAGACAGAACTAGAACAGAACTAGAACAGAACTAGAACAGAACTAGAACAGAACTAGAACAGAACTAGAACAGAACTAGAACAGAACTAGAACAGAACTAGAACAGAACTAGAACAGAACTAGAACAGAACTAGAACGGAACTAGAACAGAACTAGAACAGAACTAGAACAGAACTAGAACAGAACTAGAACAGAACTAGAACAGAACTAGAACAGAACTAGAACAGAACTAGAACAGAACTAGAACAGAACTAGAACAGAACTAGAACAGAACTAGAACAGAACTAGAACAGAACTAGAACAGAACTAGAACAGAACTAGAACAGAACTAGAACAGAACTAGAACAGAACTAGAACAAACTAGAACAGAACTAGGACAGAGTTTTGTAATTGCAATAAAACAGTAATAAAATATTTGTTTTTTCTCCATAACGTATGAGTATTATCTAATTAAATATTGAACATAAATATATATATCCCCCTGGACGTATGAGTGTTATTAATTATTTCATTTTAATTAGATTTTCTAAATTTAAACCCTTAACATAATAAAAATTCTTTCCATCATAATAAAATCTAGTTCAAATTTCTTTTCATTATAACACTCACATTCCTTTAACATTCCCAACATTCGCCATTTGTATTAAATATCCTTTATCCTATAATTTTAAGTAAATAATCATTATTCGTTGTCAACATTATAATATTTTTTATTATCCATAACGTAATGATGATTATGATAATAATTCCATATGGCTTTAATTATCTAAGACACAAAGAAACACGTACCCAGAACTCTTACTATTTATTTAAGTTTTATGCAGAGAAAGTCCCTTTGACACACAAAATCAACTAGTCACATACACAAGGATAATATAAAGACCGAGTATTTTATATATATAATGTTAGAGTAGTAGTTTAACTATTGCTATGTGTGTGTGTTTTTTCTCAGTATGTTAATATTTTTTAGCTGGTCGGTGTTCTTAAGTGAAAAACTTTATCTATCTGATTGTCTGTCTGTCGGTCGTTCTGTCCCTGTATATGAATTTGTTTACTTAGTAAATTATCCTTGAAATGTGATACTTTGTAAAACACATTTAGCTTAGCGTTAGAGTAATGTTATGAAAAAATTTATAAGTGACTTTGTAAGTGTATATTTTTAGTAATTTAAATTATAATTATTTTACTGACATCCTTTGTGGACCCCCATACAGTAATAAACGCTTCAAATTTCTTTTTGTAACTAGACCATCTTTAGTTACGCTGTTGTTTGAGTATTCTTTTTTAATATTTTTTATTTCATTTAACCTTTTAATTTATTTTTGTGAAAAATTTCCCTTATTATATTTCTTGTGTTTTTTTGTGATCTTAAAATGTATGTCAGAGGTTTAAAACGTGTTTGTTGCAACAGGGTTATGGTTTACATGTAAATTTTTTGTAGGGTATTTTTTTTTTGCTTACCTGAACATGCCTGTGGTGGCAGTGGAAATATTAATGTTGTAGAGCTTTTACGACGGGCAACAGCACAACCTAATGATTGGGGTTTAAAGCTTCTCAGCTGTTGCATAAAATCGGAGCACTCCATTAGGGCAACGTCTGCAAAATGCAGGTCGCAAGAATTTGGTTCTGGAATGGAAAAATATAGAAATAATAATTTAGTTTTCTGTTTTAGTCTGTTCTAGTTCTGTTATAGTTCTGTTCTAGTTCTGTTCTAGTTCTGTTCTAGTTCTGTTCTAGTTCTGTTCTAGTTCTGTTCTAGTTCTGTTCTAGTTCTGTTCTAGTTCTGTTCTAGTTCTGTTCTAGTTCTGTTCTAGTTCTGTTCTAGTTCTGTTCTAGTTCTGTTCTAGTTCTGTTCTAGTTCTGTTCTAGTTCTGTTCTAGTTCTGTTCTAGTTCTGTTCTAGTTCTGTTCTAGTTCTGTTCTAGTTCTGTTCTAGTTCTGTTCTAGTTCTGTTCTAGTTCTGTCTAGTTCTGTTCTAGTTCTGTTCTAGTTCTGTTCTAGTTCTGTTCTAGTTCTGTTCTAGTTCTGTTCTAGTTCTGTTCTAGTTCTGTTCTAGTTCTGTTCTAGTTCTGTTCTAGTTCTGTTCTAGTTCTGTTCTAGTTCCTGTTCTAGTTCTGTTCTAGTTCTGTTCTAGTTCTGTTCTAGTTCTGTTCTAGTTCTGTTCTAGTTCTGTTCTAGTTCTGTTCTAGTTCTGTTCTAGTTCTGTTTAGTTCTGTTCTAGTTCTGTTCTAGTTCTTTCCAAGTTCTGTTAGTTCTGTTCTCGTGGTTCTAGTTTGTACTTACTTTGAATCTCCTGGCCCGTTTTATGATTTCGTCCAGTCAAATTCAAACCGCAGGAATTGCAGCGTAAACATTCCTATGATAATGATTGTTATCATAGAGTGGTGAGGGTTTCTGAAATAAAGAAACAAATTTTTATATTAAACGTTTACTATATAAATAAAAAATTGTTCAGTTCAAAACCTCATACGTATGAGTTAATCAATTGCAACTGAACTTGAAAAATACTCATACGTCTGCTATTAAACAATAGTCATAGCTAGAGGTGAGGGTGTTTTCAAAACAATTATAAAACTGATTGACAAAATTGTTACTGCTTAAACAGATTGTTAATTTTCCTTTGAAACATAGGTATATATATAAAAAAAAAAAAAAATTGGGAAGTCCATCAAGAGACCACTATGCACCAACTTAAAACAAAGTATAAATAATCTTTATACTATAAATCATATTAAGTTGTCACAAACTGCAAAAAACAACTGCTTTTTTATCACAGAAACCTGATTCTTTCTAGTTGTCTCTAACACATCAGGCGTTGTGTGCCATTCATTAAAATGTTGCATACTTAAAGGGGTCTTCACATCTTTCTGCTCTCACTAACATCATGTATGTTTTATTTTTTATTTCTACCATTTAATTTATAGTTTAATCATAAACATTCCAGCAGCTTTAAATAAAATCCAACATGCTGGTTTCCATCAAAGCCAGCTGTTTTTTTGTATAAAGATTTGTGTGTTCCTTTTGATTCTTTCATAAAACAGACAATGGTATATTGTATGTATTTAAATCACAGAAAGTATATTTTTTTGTGTGTGAGGTTTTCATCAGGAAATATATGAAATGTTAAACAATGATATGGTGACTGGTGGTTTTTTTTTTGGGGTTTTTATAAGTGATTTTTTCCTTTTCTGTTTTTTGGTGGAGTGCGAGCGAAAAAGGTAATAGAATTAGTTTAGGTTTAGAAATTTTTTCTTAATTATCCTGATGATTTTGTTATTGCTGTAATAACTTTGGGGAATAATATTTAATAAACCATATGATGATGATTTAGCTAAAAGAAAGGGCGGATGTTTTGGGTAAAAACCATATGGGGCAAAATTTTTCGGGATAATTAATTTTCTATAGGAAAAGAAATTAATTATTATTTTATTATATTAATAAAAGAAATAAGAAAATATTGGAGATAAATTTAAATATCAAGTGAAAAATTGTTATATTAATACTGTGAAAAAAAAGTCTGGACTAAAGCCTATTCTCTAGTCTGAACTATAGTTTTGTAATTAGACTGGATTTTTCTAGTCTGGACCATAGCCTAGTCAATAGTCCAGTCTATGATCTAGCCTACAGTCTAGTCTATAGTCTAGTCAATAGTCTAGTCTTTAGTATAGTCTATAGTATAGACTATAGTCTAGTCTACAGTCTAGTTTAAAGTCTCTATATAGTCTAGTTTATAGTCTAGTCTATAGCCTGTATTCTAGTCTAGTCTAGTTCAGTCTAGTTCAGTTCTAGTTCAATTCTAGTTCAGTTCTAGTTCAGTTCTAGTTCAGTTCTAGTTCAGTTCTAGTTCAGTTCTAGTTCAGTTCTAGTTCATTTCTAGTTCAGTTCTAGTTCTAGTTCAGTTCTAGTTCAGTTCTAGTTCAGTTCTAGTTCAGTTCTAGTTCAGTTCTAGTTCAGTTCTAGTTCAGTTCTAGTTCAGTTCTAGTTCAGTTCTAGTTCAGTTCTAGTTCAGTTCTAGTTCAGTTCTAGTTCAGTTCTAGTTCAGTTCTAGTTCAGTTCTAGTTCAGTTCTAGTTCAGTTCTAGTTCAGTTCTAGTTCAGTTCTAGTTCAGTTCTAGTTCAGTTCTAGTTCAGTTCTAGTTCAGTTCTAGTTCAGTTCTAGTTCAGTTCAGTTCTAGTTTAGTTCTAGTTCAGTTCTAGTTCAGTTCTAGTTCAGTTCTAGTTCAGTTCTAGTTCAGTTCTAGTTCAGTTCTAGTTCAGTTCTAGTTCAGTTCTAGTTCAGTTCTAGTTCAGTTCTAGTTCAGTTCTAGTTCAGTCTAGTTCAGTTCTAGTTCAGTTCTAGTTCAGTTCTAGTTCAGTTCTAGTTCAGTTCTAGTTCAGTTCTAGTTCAGTTCTAGTTCAGTTCTAGTTCAGTTCTAGTTCAGTTCTAGTTCAGTTCTAGTTCAGTTCTAGTTCAGTTCTAGTTCAGTTCTAGTTCAGTTCTAGTTCAGTTCTAGTTCAGTTCTAGTTCAGTTCTAGTTCAGTTCTAGTTCAGTTCAGTTCAGTTCTAGTTCAGTTCTAGTTCAGTTCTAGTTCAGTTCTAGTTCAGTTCTAGTTCAGTTCTAGTTCAGTTCTAGTTCAGTTCTAGTTCAGTTCTAGTTCAGTTCTAGTTCAGTTCTAGTTCAGTTCTAGTTCAGTTCTAGTTCAGTTCTAGTTCAGTTCTAGTTCAGTTCTAGTTCATTCTAGTTCAGTTCTAGTTCAGTTCTAGTTCAGTTCAGTTCAGTTCTAGTTCAGTTCTAGTTCAGTTCTAGTTCAGTTCTAGTTCAGTTCTAGTTCAGTTCTAGTTCAGTTCTAGTTCAGTTCTAGTTCAGTTCTAGTTCAGTTCTAGTTCAGTTCTAGTTCAGTTCTAGTTCAGTTCTAGTTCAGTTCTAGTTCAGTTCTAGTTCAGTTCTAGTTCAGTCTAGTTCAGTTCTAGTTCAGTTCTAGTTCAGTTCTAGTTCAGTTCTAGTTCAGTTCTAGTTCAGTTCTAGTTCAGTTCTAGTTCAGTTCTAGTTCAGTTCTAGTTCAGTTCTAGTTCAGTTCTAGTTCAGTTCTAGTTCAGTTCTAGTTCAGTTCTAGTTCAGTTCTAGTTCAGTTCAGTTCAGTTCTAGTTCAGTTCTAGTTCAGTTCTAGTTCAGTTTAGTTCAGTTTTAGTTCAGTTCTAGTTCAGTTCTAGTTCAGTTCTAGTTCAGTTCTAGTTCAGTTCTAGTTCAGTTCTAGTTCAGTTCTAGTTCAGTTCTAGTTCAGTTCTAGTTCAGTTCTAGTTCAGTTCTAGTTCAGTTCTAGTTCAGTTCTAGTTCAGTTCTAGTTCAGTTCTAGTTCAGTTCTAGTTCAGTTCTAGTTCAGTCTAGTCAGTTCTAGTTCAGTTCTAGTTCAGTTCTAGTTCAGTTCTAGTTCAGTTCTAGTTCAGTTCTAGTTCTAGTTCAGTTCTAGTTCAGTTCTAGTTCAGTTCTAGTTCAGTTCTAGTTCAGTTTCTAGTTCAGTTCTAGTTCAGTTCTAGTTCAGTTCTAGTTCAGTTCTAGTTCAGTTCTAGTTCAGTTCTAGTTCAGTTCTAGTTCAGTTCTAGTTCAGTTCTAGTTCAGTTCTAGTTCAGTTCTAGTTCAGTTCTAGTTCAGTTCTAGTTCAGTTCTAGTTCAGTTCTAGTTCAGTTCTAGTTCAGTTCTAGTTCAGTTCTAGTTCAGTTCTAGTTCAGTTCTAGTTCAGTTCTAGTTCAGTTCTAGTTCAGTTCTAGTTCAGTTCTAGTTCAGTTCTAGTTCAGTTCTAGTTCTGTTCTAGTTCAGTTCTAGTTCAGTTCTAGTTCAGTTCTAGTTCAGTTCTAGTTCTGTTCTAGTTCAGTTCTAGTTCAGTTCTAGTTCAGTTCTAGTTCAGTTAGTTCAGTTCTAGTTCAGTTCTAGTTCAGTTCTAGTTCAGTTCTAGTTCAGTTCTAGTTCAGTTCTAGTTCAGTTCTAGTTCAGTTCTAGTTCAGTTCTAGTTCTGTTCTAGTTCAGTTCTAGTTCAGTTCTAGTTCAGTTCTAGTTCAGTTCTAGTTCAGTTTTAGTTCAGTTCTAGTACAGTTCTAGTTCAGTTCTAGTTCAGTTCTAGTTCAGTTCTAGTTCAGTTCTAGTTCAGTTCTAGTTCAGTTCTAGTTCAGTTCTAGTTCAGTTCTAGTTCAGTTCTAGTTCAGTTCTAGTTCAGTTCTAGTTCAGTTCAGTTCTAGTTCAGTTCTAGTTCAGTTCTAGTTCTGTTTCTTATAATTAGTTTGGCTTTTGTTCGTTTCAGCAAATATTAGATTTTAGCCAATAATGTTTGTTTTTGGGGAATGTTTTGTGATTTATTTATTCCTGATATTTATCTATTCTATTTAATTTGTAGTTTTGGGGTTTTTTTTTATTTAACTTTATAACAGGAAGTTCATTCCGTTTTAAGTTTAATATAATATTTTCTAAATTGTGTATATTTTGTTCTCCCCTTTTGCAATTGTGTTTAGTGAAAAATAGTATAAACATGAAAATAAAGAAAGTTGTGAATGATTTAATTGCTTGTTATTAAAATTTTTTTAATAAATATTAAATTAAATCTTAAACCAGATTGTTGGCAACTTTTAGTAGAAACAATTTAATTTCAACTATAAAGCTAAAAAAGGTTAGTAATCTGTTATATCTTCTTTAGTTTAATTAAATTCTCTTCTTCTAAACTCACTTTAATATTTACTGCTTACCGCTACGTATACTTAATTTGCAATTCAATTAAATATCACTCATACGTATCATTGCACTTTATTAGACAACAAGTTGTTCTCTTTAAATAATGTATGTTCGTGTGTAAGAGTGTTTCCATTCCTGCAATTTCTTTTAATTTTTATTTATACTTTATGCTGTTTTAATTATTTTATTACGTTTTTTAAAACAAATCTATTAGATAAAATTAAATTCTGCTGTTTTTATGCTCTATTAATTTTAACAACATATTTGTTGTTTTTTCTGCCAAAGTTGTAACTGTTGCTGTAAAAACTGTCTGTTTAAGAGAGAATAGCATAGAATAAGTACTGCTATATGTGAGAGTATAAAAATCATTAATTGCTTTTGTTTTAAAACAAAAGCTTTATAGAAAAAATTAACTTTTTATTTGTACTTTGCACATAAATGAAACTTAATTTGTATGTTTTTGTGACGGGAATTTGTTTTTGTATTTTTAGGTTAAAGCCAAGGAGATTTGTAGACCATTAAATGCATTTATATTTTAAGAAAGAACAAGAAAAAGTACAGGGTAAAAACTAATTAAAAATTCTAAGGTATTTTTTCGCAATTACAGCAATAAACACGAAGGTGATCTAATAAAGGATAAATTTGTTATTTTTTTTAATATTTTAAATTTAAATATATTTAAGGTAATTGTTAAGC